TGCCTTCTGGCCCAGCCTTGCCTCTTAACTGGCTGTGTAGCGTTGGCCACCTCATGCCATCCTAGGCCTCAGTTTCCCCACCAGTAAACCAAAAGTATAAATCATGGTCATCTGGGGAGTTTTGTCTAGCTTTCAAGCCTCTGATTCTCAAAATGAGGAAGTTGTACTCTTTTTGCTTTTGCTTTTAGCCTAGAATACCCTAGCTCCAGGCCAGCAGCTAATTCCCTCTCTTCGGCTTTGTCCCTTCCAGGTGAGGGCTCAGAGTATGGTGCAGGTGGAGAAGATGCCCTCAGCAGGATCCAGCGGCTCATGGCAGAAGGGGGCATGACGGCTGTGGTGCAGCGGGAGCAGAGCACCACCATGGCCTCCATGGGAGGCTTCGGCAACAACATCATTGTCAGCCACCGCATTCACCGCAGCTCCCAGACGGGCACTGAACCTGGTGCCATCCGTGCCTCCTCACCCCAGCCCTCCACCTCTCAGGGACTGTTCCCGGAACCTGGGCAGCTGACAGAGCGATGCCTAAGCCCCCAGACAGCCCCCTGGGACCAGCCTGGCACGCATGGGCCAGAGCCACCACAGCCAGCTCTGCCCTCATCCTCCCCTGTTCCTACTCCTGTCCCCCTTCCCAGCACTGAAGGACCAACCCTGCACTGCGAACTGACCAATAACGATCACCTTTCTGATGGTAGTGGCAGCAACAGGTCTGAAGCCGCAGGCCCCAATGGGGAGCCACGGAACAGGTAGAGACAACGTGTGCCCTGGTGCCTCCCCTCAGACCGCTGAGCAGAAACCAAACCTCCCAGCTGACTGGGAACTGTACACGCGTAAGAGCTGTGGGCTGCATCAGGGAACAGGAGCAAGAGGGTGGGGGCTCAAAGTCAGAGGCAGCAAGCATGAGGCAGTTGAATGGGCAAAGCTTGCCTCAAGGAACTAGAACTTTCCAGGATCTGGATCCCAGGGAGCCTCACTGCTCTCTGCTCAGTGTGAGTGGAGGAGGAAGTGGGTATCCCTCCCAGGAATACCCTTTCTCCTAGAAACATGGCTCAAGGGACTGAGCTCTGGGCAGAGAGCCCCAGAAGCTCAATAGTCTTCCAGATCTGGGCCAAACCATCCTGAACAGTGGCCAGTGGGGCAGCTTTGCTCTGTCCACCTGTTTCTTGAGCTACTAGGAGCCCAAGAGCAGGAGGAGAGGCCCTACCCCCAGAAACCATCTCTATCTCTGAGCCTTCCAGAGCATCAGCCTCTCTTTATAATCTTATCCCACAAAGACTACAGTCAGAGGTCTGGCCAGGCTCCCAAATTGCTGAAGACAAGGATTTCCTGCACTTACCTATGGGGGACAGCCATGGAGTGAAGGGAGCAGCCTGTTTGCCTAATAGAGGGTAGGGGCAAGGGATGGTAGGCAGGTCCTCACTCAGGAGTGGGGAGTATTGGCGTGTAGGCTGACCAGCTCCCGGGGCTTGTCCACCAACCTCCTCTCCCCACCCACCAGGCCCTCAGAGCAGTGCCTGTGGTTATCAGTATTACCTGAGCCTAGGCCAAAGCCAGCCCAAGGCTGGAGGAGGGGATGAGACTCCAGGGCAGAATGTGAGGTCTTAGTCTGTGATTTAAGGTGTTGCATGTGGAATCTTGAACTGTATGTGTACTTTAGTGGAGAAATCAAAGCTCTGCCTATTTTGTTTTTAGTATGAAAATGCGATTTCTTTTCTGTTTGTAACTCATGATAGAAACATTGTGGTGGGAGGAGAGGGGATAGTCTGACTGCTAATGAGGGAAACACCAAAGATCTACATCATTAAAATGACATGCCCCTCACCATGCTACTTTTGTTTGTTTCCATGGTGGATTGAGGAGAGGATGGAGACTGGGGAGGAAGGTGAAGGGGGGTGGTTGCTGAACTGAGCCAGGCCCAGGTTCTCTCAGGCACTATTCCTGGTGCTGCTGTCCAAGGTGGGGACCCTTATCTGACACCTCAGCAGTAGCCCATCAGGTGATCGCTGCCACCTCTGCTTTATTACCATCTCTGTGTGTACTCCCACCTCCTGCTTACCCCAGGGGCCTGCTAAGGAGTGGGTGACCTTAATGGTAAGTGATACGTGGGTAGATAGGAATAATGGAAGGTCGCTCATCTTGATTGCTTCTTACCAGGACTGTGGACTTAGAGTGAAGATGTAACTGGCCAGAGTTGGATTGACTCCAGTCCTGGGAAACTACCTGTAATGGGTACGTGGTCTGGCCAGGCAGAGAGCTTGGTGGTGTCTGCAGGCATCCCGCAAGGAGGCCATTTGCTGGCTGCTCAGGTCTCCCTTCACTTTGTGTCCTCAGTGCAGTGGCTGAAGGACTTGCTCTGGTGGTGGGCCTTAACCAGTTCAATTTTCAAGCCAGTTAGCAAGTGGGAAAGGATATTTGCCCCCAACTCTTACAGAAGTATACTGGAAGGCCAGCCACCCCAGGGCTTTCTGCCAGCAGCAAGTGCTTCTTGAGTATTCTTTGTATGCCCAGATCTGTCCCAGACACTATGGGGCATGCAGAATTACAGATTGTGCCCCAACAGGGACAAAACCAAAAGATTAAATGGGCAAGTAAGTACTAAAAACAGTGTGGAGAGTTACATAGTTAGGAGCACTGAAATTTTCTAGAAAATTTTAACAGTGGACTCTGGATTAAAAGACACATCTGCTAGCCACATGACCTTGGGCAAGCCACTTGCCTTTTCTCTGCTTCACTTTCGTCCCATATAGTAGGCTTCTGGGCTTGTGCTATGCAACCTCTTAAAGTTACTTCCAGCTCTATAGTCCCATGTCATTGGAGCTCAGAGAGCACTGGAGTGGTTAGCACAGGGTATCCTTAAAGAGGTGGGAGTTGAGCTACACAGGGAAGAACGGAAGAAGTGCACCCCACTGCAATCCCTGCCTTCCACCCACATAGTACCCTCAGGGGGAGGAAGAATTCCTTGGTCTGATGGTGAGGACTATGAATTTGTTGACTGCAAACCATGTGACAAGGATTCAGTGTATATCATCTCTCAGTCCTCATCGCAACCCTCTGAGGTGGGTACTGGTGTTGCCCCCAGACCACACAACTAACCAGTAGAGCCAGGATTTGAATCCAGATGGGGCCCTTAACTTGCCTGTAATATTTGGGGAAAAGGGATATGAGGAGGGCTTACAGATAAGGTGATCCATCTTCTGTCCTGCCTGGCCTTGCTTCTGCCCTCTCTGGCCAAGGATGAACCCAGGCCCTACCTGTGGTAATTCCTGACAACATCTTCTCTTCCCCACACCAACCACTTTCCTTAGAAAGCCATTGCTTGGTGTATAGGACCTCCCCAGTAGTAAAGTTTTCACAGGGCCCCGTGAGTCTCATAACAAGGTTGTGGGGTCAGAAGGGCAGAGCTGGACCATTTGGAAATGAGATAGGTTCAGAGAAGCTCTATATGGACCCATATGGGTCAAAGGCAGGTCCCTTGGTTCCCAGCTCAGCTCTCCACATTTCCACTGTGGGTTTGGGGATTGAAGAAGAAAGTGCTCACGGTAGGGATTTCCGAGAAACGAGTAGCTTCACCTGACAGTCTTGGGAAGAACTCAAAGACAATGGTTGGAGACATTGCTGATTTCTTTGGCTTCCAGTGCTTGACTTTGCTTGTTTATCCATTAACTGTTAATGTTAAAAGTATCTGGCCTCCCCAAACCTAGCTAACACAAACATATCCACCCTCTTAGGAGCACCATCCTCTCCTGAACCCTGGAAGGGATATGACAAAGTGGAACAAGGGCAGGACTGTCACCTAATTGTATGGAACAACTGAGCCTGTTGCCTCATCATGAAAGGGTCCCGCCAGGGAACAGTAGTGCTTCTTTCAAACTTGGTTATGTCTCATGGGAGACCAGATCATCTATGTAAAGGGCAGTGGCTTCTCACTGTAGCCCAGACAACCCATGCCAGCCCTCGGCCTCCGGAGCACTGGGGACCGAACTCCACCTCCGTGTTTAGCATGGAAAACTCCACACCAAGAGTCCCTCAACGCTGGCTCTTGCCAGATCTCGGGCACTGTGATCTTTACGCCACTGCGGCACCACCTCCTCCTACCCGCTACCAGAGCTCCGCGCCCGACCCTTAAGAGAGGGTGGAGGAGGGGCGGGACTTGAGTTGTTTGTCCGAGAGAAGGAACCAGCCGTCTTATGGTTAATCGGGAGTTTGTGCTCAGAGAATTGGGGTGCCAGGCCTGTGAGCCCGATCATGGAGTGTGAGTCCGACCCTGCCCGGCTCCTGGAAGGGCTGTCTGGGAGCGCAGAACTGCTGGCGTCTCGTGCGGCGGAGAGAAGCTGGCGAGGTCAGCGCCACGGTGGAGCTCTCCGAGGTGCTGAAGCAATCCGGCACTCGCTCCCGCGTGCGTCCCAACTGCGGACTGCAGGGCCCTACCCGCCTCACTCAGGCAAGGCCTCAGGTTCCGAGGCTCCTGCCCGTGCAGTTCCCGGAGCCCTCTGTGGTACTGTTTCGGGCTCCGCCCCAGGTGATCTTGGCACTCGACTTTTCCTCACAGGCATCTGTGAACTCGCTCTCCAGGCCGCTTCTGGGTGGGTGGTGCGTCCCATCCCGGGTCTGAAGAGGGTGTGCACCCTTTCCCCAGCCTGGAGCGCGCCGGAGCGAGGAGCCTAGCAGCAGGGTCGGGGAAAGGCTGGACCGGGGTTTGTGGGCGATGGGCCGGCTCACCTCTCCCGGGCAGGCTCGTCTCTCTTTAGAGGACATCGCCTGTTTTCTCTCTCCAGCTCGTGGCTAGGCCACGACGGCGCCCCTCTTTGGCTGACCGGCGGCCAACACCCAGCCCTGAGGCTGGAAACTTCCGGGCTCTCGGCTCCCTCCCGTCGGGGGAGAGAGCGACTCCACCTACCCATAACCTCCTGTTGGGAGTCAAATACTCACGCTTCCACGGGTCAACAGCGAGGAAGGCCCATTAAGAGTGAGGTCCACAAGGGGCGCGAGATCATCTCCCTGTCCCTGGTGCTTGGTCAGAGCAGAGGCGGAGCGCAGCCAGACGGGGCTGCCAGCTCCCTCCCCAGCCCGCGAGGGGGCGCCGCGTCCCCATGACAACGCGGACACCCCACCCCACCCCCCAGCCTTCCCGGAGGGCAGCGCCCCCTGCTAAACAGACGTGGTGACCGTAGGCGGTGCTCCCACAGTGCCCGAACGGGGAGCTGCCTGTCGGCCACAGGGAAGGGCGCGCGTAGCTGGGGTCCCCGACGCCCCGGGTGGTGCCCCCCGCGTGTCGCTGTTGGGTGGCCGGCCTGGGGCGGGCGGCGCGGCCCCAACAGGATTGGCTGCTTCCCCGTGACATCACGCGGCTAGGGGAAAAGTGCGAGCGTGAGCGCGAGTCGAAGCCACAGCGCTGGGAGCTGCGGGCGGAGCAGGGGCCGCCCCTCGGCACCCCGTTCCCGCCCTCGGCCCCGGCCCGGCCGGCCGCCCCGCCCGCGGGACCGCCCGTTTGTCCCGCCGTCCGTCAGGTGCGAGGCAAGCGGGGCGGAGGTGTCTGGTGAGTGACTCCGCGATGGCGCAGGGGCAGGGGGACTCGGTTGGGGTAGAAGGACGGGGAGCTCCGTACCCTCGGAGGCTCCCCAGAGGCTGTCCGATTGGGGCACGGTCCCAGGCTTCTTCGGGAGCAAGAGCGGTGCTAGGAGCTGCAGAGGGCCAGAGGGAGAGGGGCTCCGATGGAAGAAAGGCCCAGGTCACTAGGAAGGAATGGACATTCAGGAGGTTGGAGTGAGGAAGCGGGGGAGCGGGTGCCGGCCACAGCCCTGAAAGCGCCAGGGCCGCCGTCGGGGGCGGGACCCCGCACTCTAGCCCTGCTGTTGGCTCTTCTGGGCGCCTGGCGCTGGAGCCCCAAAGAGCCTCTCTCCCGCTTGCCTCCACGCCCCGGCGCGGCCAGCCTACTCAGGTCCATGGAGTCCTATCAGCGACCTTGAACCCGGACGCAAAACACCCGTGCCGCTCTCCTGGCGCCCCTCCGGAACTACCCCCACTCCTCCCCGCTGGTGCCCAGGCTCACAGCCGGAGAGATCCAGAACCAAGCCCCGAGCCCCAGGGGCGTAAGTGTCAGGAGCAAATGCAGTGTCAAATCCCGTGCCCTTTCTCCCTTCCCTGAACTCTCGAGTCTCTTCTCCCAACCCAGGGACAGATCCAGGGGCCACTGCCTTCTCGGGGCCCTAGAGTGAACGTGTAAGAACAGAAGACCCTCACCCCCACCCCCCACGGTGTCCGGAGCAGGAGCTCCCGGTTTGGTCCTGGAAGAGAAGGATGTTGCTCAAGGACCCAGGAAATCTCAGTGCCCACGCCCTGAAGCTGCAGGAACTGCGTTTTAGGGGGTTGGGGGAGTGCGGGGCACCACAGAGCCTGGACCCCCTCAGGCAAGACAGAGACTTGGAGGAGCCTCCAGATGGGCCCAGTAATAACTCCCAACTGGGCCCTCGTGGCTAGCCCAAGCCCAGGGCTTGAAAAACCAGGTGCACACTCTAGCCTCTGAGGCCACACGGTGCTTCTCTGGCAGGGTGCAGGGTTGGAAGTGGGAGGGAAAGAATCTTACACTGGCCTGCCCCAAGCCCCGGTTGGGCCTCCCCATTATGGGGGTTCTGCCTGCACAATCTTGCTGGCAGACTGCCAGCCCTTTGGCCATAGCATGCGGTGCGCTCTGGTGAGCTTGGTGTCCAGCAAGGCCTGATCCGGCTGCTCAAGCTGCGGCCCCTCAACAGAAATCAGTCCGCATCTGGGACTCCACACCTCAACCTTAGGGTTGCAGACACCACTGGGCTCTGGGCTAAGATGATGCGGTAAAGTCCTGGGGCCCTCACAGCTCGGATTGTAGTCTGGACTCGTCCTGCCCACTACCCTTCTCCAACCACAGTCTGGGCACGATCCAGACAGCAGATCTTGGCCCGACCTTCTCTGCGCTCGGATAGCTAAGGGCTGGGCTGTCTCCTGGCAGGGGCGTTTGAAATGTGGCGGGTCACCTACTGTCAGACCTGCATTTGTTTCTGTACACAATCTCACAGGTACAAGCACACCCGAATTGTGTGTATCCTCCAGGCCATAGCGTTCCAGGCACGCACACGCATGCACAAGCACGTGTCCACATGGCACGGGCATGCCCATTCACACACGGGCACACTGGTATCCAGGCATGGCCGAGCGCACACACACGCGTATGCTGACAGCTGCTAGCTTCTACTCGCGCTCCCCAGTAACCACACAAACCAAACTCACACTGGCCTTCCCGCCCACAGTTTCTTGCCAGGTGCTGGAAGGAATCCGGGCGCCCTTAACTTTCCCACCCTTGAACCCCTTGCGGAGCCGAGGGCATCTCTTTGTAGAGCGTGCTCGGGGGCCCCACACCTCTCCCCTGGGAGGCCCTGCTTGGGGCCTACTCTGTGTTCTCCGTCGCGTAGGAGTTGGGGGCCACAGAGAAGAGCAGCCACCCGTTCTGGGTCCGGAGCAGGCACCCAGGGACCTACATTGCCACCTAGCGGTCCTCACAGCCCCGGGCGGCGGCTGCTCGTCATCCCAGATCTTAGAAGGGCCTGGATCCCAAAGAAAAGCGGCAGAGAGGGATGTGGTCAGAATGTCGGCAGGAGACCCCGAGGAGGGATCCAGAAGGACTTGGGGTGGGGGCGGGGAGACAGGCAGCTTCCCCAAGCCAGCCCAGAGTGGGACTGAACCATCTTCTATATCCTTGGGGATGAGATGTCCCCAATGGCACCAAGAGGTCTCTTTCCTTCTGGGAAAGCTAAGTGGGGGAGCCGGCAGGGAATGGCAGAAGATCCTACTCGGACATCATCTGCCAGACCCCTAGTTGTGTGGTTTGCGGGGGGGAGCGCAGAGGCAGTCAGTCAGTTCCCAGGCAGTAGGACCTTGGGGTTGAAAAGGTGGCTCCTGGGTCCACTTACAAACTGAGTGACTTTGGGCAAGTTAATTAGCACTACCCTCATCTGTAAGAAGATATTTACATGAGTAAGATGAGGGTAATAATAGTACCTGCCTTTTCAGGCTCCTGTAAGGATTAAATCAGCTAATTTATATAAAAAGCTCAAAGGGATATTTGACTCATAGTTAACACTCAATAAACAAGAGCTATTGTATTTTTCTTATTTGGCACCTTCAGCCCCACTCTGATCTTGCTTGCCCTGTGTCTGGTCCTGGGAGCCTAAAGGAATGGTTTCCTAAGGGCTGGCTAACAGATCACTCCTGCCCACCCTGCATGCATCTGCACGTGCCTGGGGAGGGCAGCCTCGCTGGGTGCCGCTGCCTTCCCAGCTCAAAGGGTGACACCTGAAATTCCATTTTGGACACTCTCAGAGCAGACAGGGGCTGTCAGAGCCCTGGGAGAAGGCCATATCTGGTCTTTGCCCTTGACTCATTTGGGACCTTGGAGTGACATCACTCTTCTCAGAGCCCCTCCCCTTGTAAACCAAGGATATGGGCAGGCAAACTTGAACTACCAGGACAGGAGGCTGGGTCTGTGTCTGCAATGGTGAACTAGGGGGGCTGAGGCCAAGCTTGGGGGGTCACCCCTGGCACTTGGCTCCCACCTCCAGTGAATTTTCAAGTAGGAGATGGAGGTGGAGTTTAGTTGCTGATCCCCATAGCTGCTGACTGGGACGTGGTTCCAGAACAGGGATCTTCTCTATTTTGCAAATGAGGAGAGGTGTGGGAAGGTGAGGTGGCTTGTCTAAGGCCATGCAGCTAGACCCTGCTGGCCTTTGAGCCAGGGCTGCAGGGTGAGTGCTCCTTCCTCCACACCTACTGCCCCTCCCTCTCTCTTTCTCTCACACACAGACGCACAGAACTGCGTACACAACAGTGTGCTGTGGGACTGGTGGGGCTCCGATGAGGCCCATGTGCATGTGTGTAATGGTGCGTGTGTTGGCGGGTGTGAAGGAGGCTGGGCTGAGCGGCTGCCCTGGCATCGCACACTGGGTGTGGGCCTCCCTCACATGTCTGGGAGAGGAAGAGGGGAGGGGAAAGGAAGAGGAGCCTGGTGGGAGAGAACACAGGCTCAGGGGAGGGGCTTGTGCCTGGAGGGCCCCAGCTGAGGTGCCATCTCTGTGTACTGGTGGGCCAAGGGGCACCCTCAAGGGACGCCACAGGGACCCTGCACAACCCCTTTCTTCCCTCTGGGACACTCTCACCCTTTGGGCTCCCAGTTGCACCACAGGGCTGGCCCTGGCCCTGGGGGAGTGGAAGCCACGTATGTTCTTTCTCAGCTGATGGGCCCTTTAGACTTCTGGTTCCTCAGGGTCTCAGGCCCTAGCCGCTGACAGTCCCCAGCTACCCCTGTGCTGTGCTCCCATGTCCTGGGCATGTACTTCTGTACACCTCTGTGAAGCACTGGCCTCCTCGTCCTTGAGGTTCCCAGCTCCATGCCACTTCAAACCTATGGAAACCTTCCCCCAGGTGGGATCACTGGGGCCCCTCTCTGCCAGAGCCCTCAGCTCTGGGATAGCAGCATAACAGTAAAGAGCTATAGAACCTCGGCCTGTGCCTCAGTTTCCTCATCTATAAATAATGAAAACAATGGTATCTACCTCCTACATGTGTTGTGAGGAAGACATGAGTTATTATTTACAAAAAGTATAGGAAGTGCCTGGCACTTAGTAGACAATAAATATCAGCTACTAATGTATACTCTTGCCTTTGTCCCCAGTGCTTTCCGGTAGGAACTGAGAACAGGCCCCAGATAATGTTTGGTTAAGAAATGATCACAGTGGGGAATGAACAAACACTTCTGACTAGAGCTCATGCTGACCTCTGGGGCCATTCAAGCCCTTCTGTCCATGCTTCACACATGCCTCCAGGCCTTTGCTTTTGCCATTGGCCTTGACTAGGCTGCCTCCTTGTCATTGTCCAGATTGCCTTGTAGAGGCCTTCACTGATCACCCAGCAAGGAACCATCCCCACTTGTTCTCTGACTCACTCACTCACTCTACCAGCACCCCGCCTTGTTTTCTTTCTAGCACTTTTGTGGTTGCCCATGTGTTTGTATGCCTCCCCTGCTCAGATTGTAAACTCTGTGAGAGTGAGGGCCATGTGTGTCTCACTCACTTCTGTAACCCCAGCCAGCACCTTGAGCACTGCCTGTGCGTCGTAGGTGCTCAAGAAGCAATGAATGAAGGAACAAATGAGAACGTGACGGGCAGAGTCATCTGCAGGTTGATGTTCCCTGTCACTTTGACTCCAGTTTACCCCTAATCACTCCTCCAACACACTTCAACAATTCAGCCCCTTTCTCTCTCTTTCCTCCTCCAGATACTGCCGGCCCACTCCTGCTAACCAAAATGGCGAACTTCACACCAGTCAATGGCAGCTCCAGCAACCAGTCTGTGCGCCTGGTCACATCAACCCATAACCGCTATGAGACAGTGGAGATGATATTTATTGCCACGGTGACAGGTTCCCTGAGTCTGGTAACTGTTGTGGGTAACATCCTGGTGATGCTGTCTATCAAAGTCAACAGGCAGCTGCAGACAGTCAACAACTACTTCCTCTTCAGCCTGGCATGTGCTGATCTCATCATAGGCGCTTTCTCCATGAACCTCTATACGGTGTACATCATCAAGGGCTATTGGCCTCTGGGTGCCGTGGTCTGTGACCTGTGGCTGGCCCTGGACTATGTGGTGAGCAATGCCTCTGTCATGAACCTTCTCATCATCAGCTTTGACAGGTACTTTTGTGTCACCAAGCCCCTCACTTACCCAGCTCGGCGCACCACCAAGATGGCAGGCCTCATGATTGCTGCTGCCTGGGTCCTGTCCTTTGTGCTCTGGGCACCTGCTATCTTGTTCTGGCAGTTTGTGGTGGGCAAGCGGACAGTGCCAGACAACCAGTGCTTCATCCAGTTCCTGTCCAACCCAGCAGTGACCTTTGGCACAGCCATTGCTGCCTTCTACCTGCCCGTGGTCATCATGACGGTGCTCTATATTCACATCTCCTTGGCCAGTCGCAGCCGAGTTCACAAGCACCGGCCTGAAGGCCTGAAGGAGAAGAAAGCCAAGACTCTGGCCTTCCTCAAAAGCCCCCTGATGAAGCAGAGCATCAAGAAGCCCCCACTAGGGGAAGCTGCTCAAGAGGAGCTACGCAATGGGAAGTTAGAGGAGGCCCCTCCGCCAGGCCTTCTACCCCCACCGTGTCCAGTGGCTGACAAGGACACTTCCAATGAGTCCAGCTCGGGCAGTGCCACTCAGAACAACAAGGAACGGCCACTCACAGAGCTGTCAACCATGGAGGCCACCACACCTGCCACGCCTGCTCATCCCCTACAGCCACGGGCCCTCAACCCGGCCTCCAAATGGTCCAAGATTCAGATTGTGACGAAACAGACGGGCAATGAGTGTGTGACAGCCATCGAGATCGTGCCTGCCATGCCAGCTGGCATGCGTCCTGCAGCCAATGTGGCCCGTAAGTTTGCCAGCATTGCCCGCAACCAGGTGCGCAAGAAGCGGCAGATGGCGGCCCGGGAGCGCAAGGTGACCCGGACCATCTTTGCCATTCTGCTGGCCTTCATCCTCACCTGGACACCCTACAATGTCATGGTCCTGGTGAACACCTTCTGCCAGAGCTGCATCCCTGACACAGTGTGGTCCATTGGCTACTGGCTCTGCTATGTCAACAGCACCATCAACCCTGCCTGCTATGCTCTCTGCAATGCCACCTTTAAAAAGACCTTCAGGCACCTGCTGCTGTGTCAATATCGGAACATCGGCACTGCCAGGTAGACAGCAGGAGGCCATGGGTTGCAGTGAGTGCTGAGCCATGTGGTCTCCCATGAGGCTGTTGGGAGAGATTTGGAAGTAGCTCTCTGTATTTGTGTTCACTGAAGAGAACTGAGGTCCCCAACACCTTGTGAAGCTCTGGAAGAGGCTCTGGCTGGATGAGTGAGGAGAATCAGTTCCAGAAAGTGTCTGAACCGGGACTGCCTGGCCCACCTCTTGCCCTGCCTCAGGTAGTTGGGAGGCACTGGCCTATGGGAGCACCTTCCCACTGTGCCCAATGAGCATGGCTAAAAGAATGGACATCTGGAAGGGAGCAGTCCAGAATCCCCTTGGGAGGAACAAAGGGGCCAATGCCTGGAAAGGAGGTTGGGAAGGGAGTGATAGGGTAGAGCCCCCATTCTGCTGTTAATCGGTGCTTTCTGCCCTCCCCTCCCCCTTGTGCCTGCATGTAGGCTCAACCCTCCCCTCCCCCATCCCACTGCAGGGGCAGCAATCTCCCCTTGCTGCTGTTCCTCAGCAGGGCTCTGGCTGTGGGGGTTCGCCAGAGGACAGGTAGAGTAGGTGCTGAGGCACACCTCTGCAGCATGCCCTGGTCATGAGGAAGCAGCCAGGAGGCCCGCATTGAGGTCTGCCCTACTGAGTCCCAGGCTGAGCTGAGTGGCCCACCTTATTCTGAAGAGCCCACCCCCTTCCCCAGGGGCTTGTCCCAGGTCACACACAGTGAACATGGGGCTGTGTCAGGCAGTGTTCCTGGCTGGCTTCAGCAGCGTGAGGGAGGTCTGCGGACTAGACAAACAGGCTTCAGTGACAATTGGGACAGTGTGGTGAGGCAGGCCAGCAGACACTGTTTCTCCCAGTGGATAGAACCTTCCTGACTGGCAGTGGGTGGGACCCAGACCTTTGACCTAGTGTTTTCTGAGTTCCCTCCCCCAGCCCTGGTGTAGCCCTGGAGACTGAAAGGCTTAGGGGACTTGATGGGAGCGCCCTTTCAGCAGGGGGCCTGTTTATAATTGTTTGCTTTTTCCATGAGCTCTGGTAAGCACTCATTGCCAAACCCCCAACCCCCTGAAAGCCCCCTTTCCCAACAGCCTTTGTCCCACCCCTAACAAATCAACACAGCAAACTTCCTGGGAAGGGCTTTTATATATTAAAAGGAAAGCTTTTATTGAGGAAAAAAAAACAATGGTTTTTAAAATTAGTTTCTTAGAAATGGCATCATTGTGGGGAAGAACAAAAGTGGGTGTAGGGAATCAAATCTCTTCAGGGGAGGAGGATCAAGCTGGCCAGAATCCCTGTTCCTCCCCAGTATGGGCACTTGGCGGTGAGTGGGGGAGTGGAAGGGAAGAAGCAGGCATGATTGATAAAGCTAACAACAAGTGGACAAAAGGCACTGACAGGCTCTACCTTGAGCCTGTGAGAGAGGTGTGGGCCAGGGGCTCCTCAGCATCCAGGCCTGGCTGCTAGTCCTTCCCCTTCCCTTTCTTGGCTGTAAAACAAGGAACAAATGGCATGTTAGCAGACTTCAGGTGACCTAGTAGAGACCCCCTACACATACATATCAGGGAACAGAAAATCCTGCTCCCTAGTGGCTCTTGATCAGCTGACAGGCAACCCATGGGGGTAGGGCAGCCATGATGCTTCTGTCCTGGCCCCCATCCACCTTTGCTGCTGATCAGGAAACCTCCAGGTTCCCGGTCCCATCCCTGGTCCCTGCAGCCCTGGAAGACAGCCACTGCCTCCTCACCTGAGAAGGTGGCCGATTCACCTCTGCCCTGTTAGCCTCTCCTCAGGTCTGCTCTGAGTCGGGAATGAGCTAAGGGACAGAGGAAGCACGGACTGTGAAGTGCTTCTAGTACTAGAAAGGCCGAGATGACCAAATGGTTTCTCTAGCTGGAGAGATGACAAAGCCGGACCTTCCAGGACAGTTTTCCTGGATCCTAAGCAAAATGCTCCAGAACAGTGTTTGCCCTTAGTTCGGCCAGAAGGATTTGTATCTCTTGAGCAGTTTCACTGGGCTGCACTCACTACGGCCCATCTAAGGTATTTCTCCAGAAGAAACCCCACACAGAGATATCAAGTCACTCGCTAGGGCCCAGAACTTCAGACTTAGCCATTCGCTTCACAGGTGGGGTAGCCCTCTGTGATGCCACCCCAGCTCTGCTAACCTTTGGCCATGGCTTTGGTCTTGGGGGTGCACGGCTTGGTCACACGGATGGTCTCCTGGCACTGGGCATTGTACCGCGCTTTCTTCAGAGTGCCTTGGCGGGCTTTGGTGCTGGTGCCCCCATCACAGGCCCCCCAGCTCTCAAATTTGTACTTGCAGTCGGCTGGCGGGAGAGTGCCCAGGGTCAGAGCTGGGCAGCCAGTTGCCTCCCTCTACAGTTCTGCCCAGGTTTCAGTGAGGCCGCGCCCCTCTTTCCTGCCCTCCGCCTGCACCCCACCTCACCTCCAAACTCCTTTTTCCAGTTGCAGGGCACCTTACACCGGATGCGCTGAGTCTGGGTCCCGCAGGCACCCTCGCGGAACCCCCCACCGCAGTCCTTGCTGCTGGGGGTGCAGGGCCCCCAGGTCCACTCCGCGCACTCACTTGCGGGGCCACCCTTCTTCACTTTGTCTACAACGCACGAGGACAGAGCTCAGGACCCGGGACACGGAAATTCACTCGGTGACCCCCCCCTGGGATCAAGGTCCCCGAACCCAGGTAGCCAGCCACAAGAGTGCTGGTCTCACCTGCCCGTCTCCAGCCCTCTTTCAACCTCCCACATGCCGTATCACCTTTTTTTTTGGCCACCGCTGAGGTGAGCGCCACCAAGGTGACGAGGGCGAGGAGGAGGAAGGCTCGGTACTGCATCCTGCGGGGAGAACGCGGGTCAGAGTCCCCTGCCCATGGGTGAGAGTGCCTTTCCCCACGGGGGATCGCAAGCGTGGGCCTCCCCACCTTTTTCAAGCCCAAAGGATCGGGCCACTAAGGGGGCGACGGCGGAAGTATTTGAGGGATCGGCCCCTTGCCTCTAGCCGGGAAGCACAGCCTGGGGGGCGTTTCCCTGGGGGACGCCTGGAGCCCAAAATGCAACTCATACCCCCACCACCAGCCCCCAGCCCCCAGCCCCCAGGTCGGCCGCAGCCGAGCCGGCTAGGAGACGAGGCCGCCGTGCGGCTCCCGGAGCCCCGGGCGCTCACTCGCTCGCTACCCGCACTTGCTTAGCTCCCTCCCGCGCCGAGCTAGACCCACTCCGGCCGCTGCGGCCCCTTTTGTCTCCAGAACCGGTCTGAGCCGGTCACATGGGCCTCCGCCCCCTCCCCGCCTACCCCCCCCCCACCGAGGAAGGACCCGACCCGCCCCCACCCGGCGTCCCCGCCTCCGCTCCCGTCCAGCGCCCCCACCGCTTCTGCCCCGGCTTCACATCCCTGCACCCTCGCCTCGCCCCTCCCGTGCTGCTCGCCCCGATGCTGGGCTCTCCTGGGCCCCATCTTCCAACCTGGGGTCTCTTGGCCCCAGGCCCCCGTCCTGCTTTGATAATCTCTGGCCTCAGTCCCAGCTTTCCGCGCCGCTCCGCCTCCCTCGCCTGTCCTTCCTTCGCTGGACTCCAACCTCCCTTGCCCGCGGCAGGCACTTAGATGGAGGCCAGAGGGAGCACGGAGGCCCGGGGCTGTCCCCTGATGCACTGGTTAACCCCGTTGAGGCCCGGCTCCGCCTCCTGGGCCTACTCTGCCTTCTGCGCTGGGGAAGGAGCGCTAGCCCCCACCTCGGGGTGCTTAACCAACTGCGCGGGAAATGTTTTGCCAGTGTTGGGGGAACCTGGGACTGGGAAAACGGGAGAAAGCGCATGGTCAAGCGTGCGCTCGGAGGGTTTGAGGCCGCGGAAGGGGGAGAGCTGGGGGAGGAGGCCGCAGGCCGGATCTGTTAGCACTTGGAGTTGAGAATAGCCGTCTGAGAAGTTCAAGACCCGGCCACAGCGGCGGCTGCAGATGCCCACCCCTCCTGACTCTGGAGCTTCGGAGGATCACCTCAACCGATCCCCTAAACAGAGAAATCCACTGAGGCCTGGTTAAGGAGGAGGCTTAACCAAGGGTACAGGTTAAAAGGGCAAAGAACCTGGGCCAAAACCCCCGCCCCACCTCTCTTTCACTTTATCTTCCCTGCGGGAAGCGGGAAACTGGAGGAAATCGGCTCCTCCCTCAGCCACGGAGTTAGCCAGTCAGGCGGAGGTCAGGTCCCGCGCAGGCCCTGACACACCCGTCACCCGCCGCAGAAAAGGGTCTGGGTCGATGATGTACAGTATTCCCACCCTCAGGATAACTCGGCAGACCCTGAAGCTTCTGTTAAGACCTCCCCCGCAAAAAAAGAAAGGTAGAAAGGAAAAAAATCCACTTTACTGAGTCACACCCAGCTGTAAACATGTCACCACGAGAGCCCCTCCCCAGCCCCCAGGCCACAGTCCGTGATGAAATGACTGGGTACATGGGGAGGGTCACAGGTATGTGCCAAGCGGGACAGAGAGCAGGTAAATGCAGCAGGCTCCTGCTTTCTGGGAGGAAACCTGGGGAGGGTGGGATCAGAACAGGAGAGGGGGCCTGAGCTCCCAGGAGCCTCACACTGGGGCCCCTTAAGGCCCTAAAAGCCTTCCTGAAGGCTCCCTGATAGGGCCTCAAACTCCTCTGCCCTCCCCCTCTGGGGCCTAAGCTCCAGGCCCCCACAGGCCTGTCCAGCCCAGTCCAGTTTCCTTTTCCTCTGTGAACCTCTTCATCAGCTGGGAGCTCCGGGGGACAGCTGAGTACCCCCAGCGCCCAGCCTCAGGTCTGGGCAGCTCCTTAGGCAGCAGCACAGGGCTCCTTCCCTGGAGCATGGGTCCTCCCGTGGCCAGTCCGACTGGAATGTGGCAGTGTGGTGGGGTGGAGGGGCCCCGCTGGCTGGCCCTGTCCCTCAGCTACACAGCTGTCTCCTGGTCCTCCCGATGGACCATCTGGTAGTGCTGCCGGTTCTCCAGGTAGGCGGCCAGCTCAGTGTCCTGAGCTTTCTCAGCCCGCTGCCGGGGAGTGTTGCCCTGAATGAGGGGGTACTCCATTAGCTCAGGGACCTGTTGGCCTCAACAGGCTTAGGAAAGGGCAGGAAGGGCTAACCAGCCTGGCTGCTATGGGGGCAGAAAGGCCTCACCAGTAGGTAGCCAACCTACTGTCTCAGGTTTCTCAGGGTCTGGACTGTGCTGGTTATAGAACAGCTTCAAATCCACAGAGGTGCCCCCCACCCCCAACCCCAGGTTCTCCTGTCACAAGGGCCCAAGTTTGGGAAAAAGTCAGTCTGTATCTGCGTGGGCTCCCTGCCCGCCCTGCTAGTCTGCTTACCTGCTGGTCTGTCTTCATAAGAGAGGCTCCAGCCTCCACAATGTAGTGGCAGATGGTTCGCTGGCCCAGAGCTGCAGCCTGGTGCAGACAGGTCTCCCCACTGGGGAAACAGGCTGGCTGTGGACCTCATCCAGTCTTCTGGGCCCTCCCGAGGACCATCAAAAAGGGCTGGAAGTTTGGGGGCCTGGGACCAGGGGTGTGGCCCTGAGGACAGTTATTTTGGCCAGGAAGGGTTTTTGGGCTCTGGTTCTCCTGGGCCCCATCTTCTCCCATGCTGGGAGCTGTGGAATGGCTAAGACCAAAGGGGAGGTGCAAGATGGAGACAGGCTGTTTCCAGGAAAACCAGGGCCCTATACTGCCCAGATACTCACTTTTCCTCCACAGCATCAAGGATCTCTGGGGGGGCTGAAGGAGAGGGGATGGGGAGGTCAGAAAGGCCTGGCAGCCTGCCCCCTTTCCCGCCATGGTGCTGGCTTGAGGGGCCCTGGTGGTCCAGCTCACCGTGATCCAGCAGGTAGCGGACCACTTCTTTGCTGCCTGTGCTGACAGCGTGGTGCAGGAGCGTGCGGCTTCTCTCATCCCGGTGCATGAGGTCACCCCCAGTTCGGTGCAGCTCCTGGAGCTGAGGGCAGGAGGCAGGCAGGAGGGCTCTTCAGGGTCACCCTCCTTCCAGCTCCAGAAATGCCCCAAACTCACACAGGCCACAGGCCTGACACTAGGGTGCTCCTGCACATTGCTCCCTACGGGCCTCTAGGGGTCTTTCTGAGTGTAGGGGAGAGACAATGGGCTCACCCCAGGAGCACACGACCAAGCCCTGGAGCCTGTGGTTCTCTAAGATTCACTCATTTATGAGCACTGGGGACAGGCAGACTGAGCTAGGAAGCTCCAGGTAAGGGACACTGAGCTGGAGAGAGGTACGGCAGAATGTGACGATGACCATGGAGACCCCAAAGAGCCAGAAGACAACAGATAATGGCGTGTGAACAGGCCAGCTCTTGGCCCCAGAGGCCCCACTCCCCAGCGCCTGAGGGGCCCCAAGGGGAAGCTGCAAACCTTGGCGCCAGTACCTTACAGAAGTCGTTCCTCTGGGCGGCCTCAATCAGCTCTTCACCTGCACAGAACACCTGCCATTATTCTGTGGGGCTGCGGCCTGGGCTTGTGGTGCCCAGGCCCATGCGCACGGTGCACTGCTATGCCAAGCAGCAGGCCTGCCGGGGCACATGTGCTGAGGACTGGGTTCGAGGTGACCACATGGACCTCGATAGTCATGTTTGCCCAGGGCTGTGTGTGGGCTCTCCCCAGCCCAACGAGCCTCACTCCTATAACCAGGGAGAAAGGAGGGGCCCCCAGAGGCCTCACCTTTAGGAGGTGCAACATCTCCTGGTAGTGACCTGCAAACAGAGCAGGATGAGATATGACACAGCTACAGCCAGCTTGTTACCCTCCCCGGGCCCCACCTCCACCAGTGCCCTTCATTCTTTCAACAGTTTATTGAGTGCCTCCTACATGGCAAGTGTTCTAGACACTGGCAGTACAGCAGTGAAAAGAGAGGTGGATTGCTGGCTCTCACGGAGCTTCCATTCTGGTCAGGGGCACAGCAAGTAAACAAACAAAGTATTCTGAGAGAGCAGGAGGTGTTATAAAGAATACAAGACAGGGCAGTGTGACTGAACAGCAACTTGAGGAGTTCTCAGGAAGACTTCTTAGAGGACACCTAAGCTGAGGTTTGGATGGAAGGGGCAGCTCTGTGCAGAACAAGGCAAGAGTGTTGGAGGCAGCAAGGACAAGTGTAGAGGTGGGCAAACTAGTCCTCAAAGAACCAAGAGGTGAGAAGGCCTGGGCTGTAGTGATGGAGGGGAGAGTGCTGGGGGAGGTCAGAGATAGCCAGACTCAGGCTTCCGGTGATCAAATGACTTGAAATGAAATGACTGGGTACCTGGGTGCTGGGAGAGGAGGTTCTAAGTTGGGAAGTGTGAGAGCTGGAGACCAGGGTCATGGCAGCTCGGACAGGGTGTGCTTAGACATCGGGGGAGAGCAGACAGGACTTACAGGGAAAGGTCTAGGGGTGGGAGGAGAGAAGTCAGGGAGGGAACCCAGGTCTTGGGCTACTGCACCAGGGCAGATGGTGATGCCACTTCTGGAGCAGGCAGAGGGCTCCTTAGCTGGGTTTTGGCCAGGTTCAGTTTGCTGCCAATCAACCAGCAGGGGAGGGGCTAGTCAGGACCCAGTGGGCTGCTAGCTGAACCTGGTCATGTGCAGGCAGGCCGTGCTAAAGGCAGGACTTCAGGAACTGCCAGCTCACAGGTAGGATTTAGAGTCTAGAGGAGACTCAGGACTCACTGGGGTGTGGGTGAGCAGGGTGAGGTGGGGAGAGGAGAAGTGGGGGTTGGAAGGTCAGGCCGGGCCGATGCCCCCAGCAGCTCAGGATCCAGGATATAAATCTCGTCCTGTGCGATCTCAGTCACATAGTTGAGGTGTTCCTGTGGATGGGGTGGTCAGGGACAGCGCTCAGGGCTGAGGGTCATGGCCTTCCAGGGTAGCTGATGGTGGAGTGAAGGGGCAGCAAGGCCAGACACCTGGGGAAGGCCCTGCTATGCACATGAATACCAAAGGAGACAGCCAGGCAGGTAGTCCTGCCAGTCCCTCACCTCCCCACTTACTTCCTCTCCCTTCCCACCACCCAAGCCGACTCTAGCCTCTGCATTTGGGGCCTGCCAGCTTGCCAGCCCCTTTCCATTGCTAAGCCTTTACCCAGATGACCTGGCCCTTGTGCTCTGAGGCCCTCTCAACCACCTGGCAAGCCTTTTCGGGGACACCAACTCTTTTCCTGTTGGTACCCTAGCCTGGAGTACAGGGACATGGACATGAACAAGCGTGAATGTACTGTGCAAAAGGAGGATGGGGTGAGCCATGAAGGTGTCTGTGGAGGGCAGGCTAACAGGAGAGGTGACACTGGGTCACCAGCTGTTGGTGGAGCAGGACTGTGAGTAATCACCTGGGCCCGGTCGATCCTGTAGAAGCGGCTGGCAGTGGTGGCTGTGGGGAGACAGTTAGTTGGCCGAGGATGGCGAAGCCCTTGTCCAAGCCCAGGTCTTCTGCTGCCCCAACCAGGATCCCCTAGAGAGGAGTCAGGACACAGCCTGGGACTGCCAGCAGCTGGCCCTTGAGGGATACTCACCATCTAGGAAGCACCACTTTGGGGACAGTTTCTGGCAAGTCAGGGACTTGGCTCCAGCACCTTCGGGCTCCTGTTGAGAGAAGTCCAAGCCAGGCCTTGGAGAGAACAGAACCTGGAGCAAGTGGGTGCAGTACAGGCAGGCTCCCAGCCCCCACCCCTCACCTGCTGGAGCCTCTCGATGTGGACACGGCAGAGCTCTAGGTCACTGTCTCCTGGGACCACCACAGTGCCCAGGGGCACAGCTGAGGGACAGAGCAGGCCATCAGTTGCTGGCTGTATCCTACTGTTTTACCCTTAGGGGACTTGTGAGCTTCTCAGTGCCACCCCAGCCCTGCTTGCCACTCACAGGCCTCCTTGAGCTGCTCCTTGTCATAATGCAGGGCCTCGTAGTCATGCATGCTGACTCTGCTCACCTGGATCTGCAGCTGCTCGGGCACTGGCTGCTGGCTGCAGGAAGGGACAATAAAAGGGTTCTTGGCAATGGCCCTGCCCAGGCTGCTAGCCCTCAGCCAGGTACCAAACCAACCCCCAACTGCCTTGCAGCAGAGGGGCTGTTAGCCCCTTTCTAGATGGGGAAACCAAGAGAGGCACAGAGTTGGGCCTTAGGCCTAGGGCATGTGGTGGCTGGGGGAACATACTCGCTATGCAAAGGGGCAGCTGTCCGCCGCTTGGCCTTCTGCACCATGGTGGCCTGGTTTCGCAGGGCAATGTGAATGCATGAGGCTGCAAGCTTGCAGGGCTCACCATCCACCTGCACAGGGATGGCCTTGGACGTGGTGAGCACCACCTCGCGACACTGTGTCAGCCGCTCGCCATGCCCACCCACCTGCAGTGCTGCCTGTGGGTACAGAAGGCTCAGATCAGGGGCCACAGTGGGGATGGGGGCCCCCAAGCTCTGCTCCTTCCAGGGGTGCTCTGGCCAGAGAACAAAGTGAGAATAAGCCCCAGATGGAGAAGGAAGGAAGGGTGAGACCCCAGTCAGAGAAAGGATGTGAGGGTGAACTCTTTCAACTTGCCCAACAAAGACAAGTTTGGTGAACTCCCCTTCCACGGGGAACCGGCTGGGGGCAAAGTAGGGCCAGGGGCTTCAGGTAGGTCCCATACTGGCCCACTTACCAGGGATGTCATGGTAAAGCCAATGACCTCGAGGTAGCCGTCATCGTGTCGCTGGGGCTCGAAGTCATGGTGCTCCCCAGGGTGGCCCCAGGGCATGGTACCTGCACAGTACCTGGGGGGAGGGCAACAGGAGGGGCTTCAGGTGACAGTCCTACAGGACAGAGATGGCAGGGCCCACCCAGAGCCCTCCCCTACTTACCTGGGGATGTTCAGGAATACAATGCACTGGGGTTTCAGGTCCTGAATCTTGGGGGTCAGGTCTGTTCCATCACACTGTAGGCACGAACAGGGGAAGGCACTGGGATGTATGTGCCAAGGCCTCCCTCCCTGCAGGGCCCACGCACTCTGCCTGCCAGCCCAGCTGCTTACCACCACTCGGATGTGCTTGGCCAAGTCCTTGGAGCTGCCCATCAGGAAATCAGAGAAGGCTGTCTGTGGGAGACACAGAGTGTCACCATCTGGTAACAGGGACTTTCCTCACCTTTGCCCGATGGGTCCTGTGGCCTGGCAAACATGTGGGCAGGGAGCATGACTGGTGGGACAGGTGGGTGTAGGACCAGGGGCACAGGTTATTGGCAGACCCCAGACTCACCCCGGCATAGAACATCTTATTCCGAAAGCGGCTGTTGAACTTCTCTGGGTTGGCCTCTGGGTGACAACAAGAAATGGGGACAGTCAGTCATTCTGAGCCTGTTGGGGCTTCCCAGGCTGGGATTGGGAGGGAGGGCTGAGAACAAATGCCTTTTACTGGTGGGCATGACCCTCTCAGGGACACTCCTGTGTTCCTCCCACCCTGGTGTCCCAAGGCCTCTTTAGCAAAAGGTTGCCAACCTCGAGACTCATGAAACTCCAGGGTGACATGGGCATCAAACCCCAGGCTGAAGTAGTTGTTGAAGACATCCAGAGGTAGCTGGAAAAAGGTCAAGGGACTAGCATGAGGGCTGGGCCTCACAGACACCTTCTGCTCTGCTCAGCCTCACCCATGCATGTTCAGAGGCCTTTCCACCAGACAGCTAAGCCCCAGCCTGCTCCACAGCCTGCCCCCTGCCTGCCCACCCACCTCTGGCTCTGTTCTCTTGGTTCTCCTGTGAGGCTCCTCTAAGTGCCCCCAAAACAAGAGTACTCTCACTCTGCTAGCATTCTCTTCCCTGGCTTGAGTTCCCCTTTGACACTCATTTCTCTACATGCCATACTCTGCAGGAGCTGCCTGGCAGGTAGTAGGTATTTAGTCAATATTTGCTGAGTGGTGGAATAACAACTATCTTGTGAGGTAAGTACCATTCCATTATTCCCATTGTACAGATGAAACCAGAATCTGCAGAAATGAAGAGGCTTGCCCAAGGTCCCAGCAAGGTGATAGCAGGCCCAGCCCAGGTGTCTTGGGAATCCTGAGAGGCCCCCTGGCACCCACTGCCCTGCCCGAGCCCTGGCTCACTTACCCGGTCGGTGGCACCCTCATCACGCTCTTCAGGCCCTGCCTCGGGGTTGGGCTCAGCATGGAGGTCCCAGCGGTCCAGCTGCACCACATTCCCCTCCTCTACATGGGAGAGGATCTTGGACACAGGCTCATCTGTGTAGCCCTGGTGGGAAGCAGCAGGAACTGAGCTCCTCCCGGGGGCAGGCCTCCCCAATGACTCAGTGCACTCTGTTCCCCACCTTCCTGTGGCTCTTACCCCACCCCAGTTGAGGGTACGGGCCAAGTCGTTGCCAGTGCCCAGGGGCAGGATGGCAACAGGCGGCGGTGGTTTTAAGCGCAGCTGGTCCAGAGTGGAGAGGATCCAGCCAACCTGCAGGGTGCAGAGCAGAAGAGGCCAGGTCAGACCAGCAGGGCCTGGCCTCAGGTTTGGCCTCAGGGCCAAACAACTCACCGTGCCGTCACCCCCGCATGCCAGGATCCGCAGGTTGTGTACTTTGCGGTACATCTCTAGCCTGGGTCAGAAGACAGGGAAGTGCTGTACCCTGAGTGGCAGGCAAGCCCTTGCCATGGTCCCCACAGAGCCCTGGCGAGTACTTACGCCTCCCTGGGCCCTCCCTGGCTCAGGTCAAAGACTTGTCGGGGATTGAGGTACCAGAGGAAGGACTGGATGATCTTAGCGCCCTGTGGGGGATTGGGAGGCAACAGGAACAGGGAGGGCAGTCAGGGGGTGGGCTGAGTTGGTGAGAAGCACAGGGAAGGATGTGGCTGTGGGAACCAGGCCCAGGGAGGGCAACAGGTGGAGACATACTGGATTTTTCTCAGGGTCCTTGGGAAAGAGGGATGGGACAGAAGCTGGGAACACCTGCTGGGGTTGGGGTGGAGCTCAACCCCATTCTGCCCCCAGGGCCCTCAGTGCATACCTGGTTCCCCCCACTCTTGGGGTTCACGAACACCAGCAGGGGCTTCATGAGGGGAGACGGAGTGGGCCTGATGACGAAGGGTCTCCAGCGGCCCTCCTTGGGGTGCAGAGAGAGCCTGTAAGGCCCTTTCCTGTCCCGATGGACCCTGCCCCCCTTTTCAGCAGTGCGCTCTCACATGCCAGCCCCAAGTCAGGCCTCAGGGTGGGCCTGGTCATAGAGAGGCAACTGGGACTTGACCTCCCACCCTCCTTGGGGCCCAAAAGCTGACCCACCCAAGGCTAAGCTGGCGGCATCAGTATTCCAAGAAACAGGCCTCTCTTTCCTGTTGCCTCTAGCTGCCCGCCTACTCTCAGTTCTAACCTCCAGCCCTTTCTTGCTAGATTTCCTCTTGAAGGATGCTCTCTTTTTCTTCTTGCTTGCCTTGAGGGTATTCTGCAAGGGAAAGAGGGGCGTTGGTGACAAGGTGGGTGGGCTGGGGTGGCGACAGACCCCAAGTGTGTAGGGGCTGTTAGGGGTGCGCAAGCAGGACTCACCTGGGGCCTGCGGGCTCGGAGGATCCAAGTGGGGGGGATGACCACTGCAGCATGGACCCCCAGAGAGCATGGCTCCTCGATTTGCTGCAGCATGAAGCAGGACACCTTGCTGTGGTACTAGGGGAGAGTGGGTGGTGTGGCTGAGCCAAGCCCAGCTGAGACCTGGGGACCCCAACCCAGAACAGCACCAGGGGTAGCCTGTTGGGGCAGGGCGAGCACCACTCACTGCTTGCTTGCACCAGGAGCAACTGATAGCCACAATCTCCTTGCTGTGGAAGGTGAACTTCTGCTGGAAGCCCTAGGGTGGACAGGGTGCTTGGAATACCAGGGCCTGGGCCCAGAACAGCACATCTGGCCCCTCTTCTAATGATAACCTCTCTCCACCCATGGAAATTGTATACATATTTTTTAAATTAAAAATCTATAAAGCACACCAATCAAAGGACACAGAGTAATAGAATGGATAAAAAAGCAAGACCCATCTATATGCTGCTTACAAGAGATTCACCTCAAACCCAAAGACATACACAGACTAAAAGCCAAGGGATGGAAAAAGATATTTCATGCAAACAACAAGGAGAAAAAAGCACGTGTTGCAGTACTTCTATCAGACAAACTAGACTTCAAAACAAAGAAAGTAACAAGAGATAAAGAAGGACACTACATAATGATAAAGGGGGCAGTCCAACAAGAGGATACAACCATTACAAATATATATGCACCCAATACAGGAGCACCAACATATGTGAAACAAATACTAACAGATTTAAAGGAGGAAATAGAATGCAATGGATTCGTTCTGGAAGACTTCAACACACCACTCACTCCAAAGGACAGATCCACCAGACAAAAGGACACCGAAGCACTGAGCAACACACTAGAACAGATGGACCTAACACATCTACAGAACTCTACACCCAAAAGCAGCAGGATACACATTCTTCTCAACTGCACATGGAGCATTTTCCAGACTATACCACATACTAGGCCACAGAAAGAGCCTCAGTAAATTAAAGAAGATTGAAATTCTACCAACCAACTTTTCAGACCACAAAGGTATAAAACTAGAAATAAATTGTACAAAGAAAACAAAAAGGCTCACAAACACATGGAGGCTTAACAACATGCTCCTAAATAATCAATGGATCAATGAACAAATTAAAATAGAGATCAAGCAATATATGGAAACAAACGACAACAACAGCACAAAGTCCCAACTTCTGTGGGATGCAGCAAAGGCAGTTCTAAGAGGAAAGTATATAGCAACCCAGGCCTATTTAAAGAAGGAAGAACAATCCCAAATTAATAGTCTAAAGTCACGATTACTGAAACTGGAAAAAGAAGAACAAATGAGGCCCAAAGTCAGCAGAAGGAGGGACATAATAAAGATCAGAGAAGAAATAAATAAAATTGAGAAGAATAAAACAATGGCAAAAATAAACGAAACCAAGAGCTGGTTCATTGAGAAAATAAACAAAATAGATAAGCCTCTAGC